TATCAATTCCACCAACGAGTAATTTCCATATATATATATATACTAGCAAGTCTTTTTGTACTTGACGTTAACGTACAAAAAATGAAACTGGGCAAGGATATCCATATTCTTGATTTATTTTCAAATAGTTTATTTTGGCGTCTTGTTACAATAATATATAATACCGAGGTTTTGTATGAGCGCGTAATGAATGAACTCGTGTGTAGTTGGAAAACGTACTAAGATCGCAACATGATACGTAGTTGTTGCACACCCATTTTTGTACGTGGATGCAAATATCCCTGAGTGTAACTGTTTTGAAAAAACAAAAATATACAAAAAATTTTTGCCGAAGTCATAATAAATATCCACAGTTGACATAACTTGGAATCTCAATGCCAGATAATTTACATCCAGAATTTAGCTTTGCCTACGCATTGTTATACCAAATATTTCATTTCTGGGTGGTATAAATTCAACTATAGAGGACTTGCACGGATCACGTGACTTTGTTTACGCCGCCAATTTGTACGGCAAAAAAACAAAAACGTCCACACCTCGCTCCTGTCAGTTGCAAGTCGCGTTATTCGTTTCCGTTTTGCTGGGCTGTTAAACATAGTTATTTCGTATTGAGCTGTACGTATAAACAACGCAATGGATCTTCAGTTATATTCCATTGTTTTCAAAAGATCCGGAACGTCGCGCAAGGTGGATATCATCTATTGGGAGAACTGGTTGGTGTCCCAGACATCTCGCTCGCGTTTGGGGACAGCACTTCGTTGGTGGTGGGTGATGAAGTGCCGTTATTGATTTCTTTAAATATTCATAAGCTCCGTCATTTTAATGGAAAACATAGGACAAACTATCGTTATTGGTAGGCATACTTGCGTTTCTAATTTGTAAGAAATCTTCATCAATGGTCAGAAGACATTGTTTCGTTAGTTAGCTTGTAATCTATTAATGAGAGTGAAAAGTTGAATAGATCAAGTTTAACACTAGTGGTCATGCAGAAAATAACCAGAAGCTCTTAGCGACATACACAAACTTGGCACTGTACAAATAATGATTAGTGTGTAATTTATTTTCAGGAAATAAGAACGATAACCCATTATCAGCTGATTATGTCCCATCAATATTGAATGTTTGTCATTCCCAGAGGGGGAAAGAATAGTTGAAAGAAAAAAGATGGATTTTGAAGAAAGGCAAAAGGCAGGGATGAGGTGTTGGAAAATTAAGCTAGCTATTCTTAGCGAAATAAATGAAAAACAGGAGGAACAGGAATATGAGCAACAGAAATTCTGTGGAAGTGATATGTGTAAAGTTGGAAATTTGTCAAATTGGACAGCTGAAAGAAAAACTCAAATTTTTGTAATTTTCCATCGACTGGCTTGCCCACAGTCAAAATTTTAAAGTTGTGGTTGATATTCTAAAACTATTTTGTAAAGAACTTGCATTGCTATCACAATTTCAACAGATTCTGTTAACTTGTTTGCGTTGCAATATCACTTTGCAGTTGTTAGCATTAATATTTAATGTGTTTTTCAACTAGACCTACCGCTTTAATTAAAAGCAGCCGCCCAAACCCATTTTTTACTAGAAGCATCATAACACCGTAAAAATTTGATATAAATTAACCCTCAAGGCATCATATCTTTCATTTGAAAAAGCTGTGGAGGTAGATACATTTTTTACCCTAAATTATGAAATGTTATTTCTTGGTGATCTTATTCTTGCTGATAGAGATTTTGATGTTAGTGACTCTATTGCATGCATACCACACTGAAAATTCCCGCGTTTACCAAAGAAAAAAAAGTTGCAGCCTTGAAAACAGTCGTATAATCTGAGCAAAAAAAAGATTTATGTGGAACATGTAATATGCATTTATAAGCAAAAATATCCCATCCAAAGCAGTACCTATCCACAACCTCCTGTCTATGGAATCAAAACATTAGACGAATTAGTCTACTGTGCGCATTTACAAAAATTTGCGAATTAAGTGTGCCTTTTGACTAAGGATGTCCAAATCAGGAAAATTTTGCTTTGAAATGGTCAACCTCAATATAAACCTGGCATCTGCAGATAAAACCAATTGTTTTTTAAAAATACATTTTTGACTTGTTTTTTTCTTCAAATATAATTTATAATTACTCTAACAGTGTGTGGTACATTTGGGTACCGTGGATACCATTTGCAAATAAGCTTATGTAGCACCCCTCTCAAATAGTATTTTAGAAGTCGTATTCATTCAAGCACATTGGACACTTTATCTTCACCGATTCAAATCCACAGCAATCACGAGTTACTTGCCATCATGATTAGCATCAAGAAATGGATACTGATATAATATCAAGCCATACAAGCTGAGGTCTTTCTGAGTCTCTCCACTGTGGTTTTGTTACAACGTATACTTTGCCATCCCGTCTATTTCATGGTAACATTCATATCTGTAAAATAATGAATACAGATTCATTCAATATCATGACCCTGTACTAGCTTTGTAATAATTGTGGAGTTTTCATAAAATCTAACAAATCAAGTGGTGAGATATCCATCTCCTACCACATAGAGGTCACAGACCGACTTTGGTAGTACTATCAAATTCAACCAACCTTTAAGCACTAGTCGTAAATGAATTGATATTTTTTTCCCGACCATTGACCCCATAGAAATTTATTCTGGTTCTCGTACATTTGAACCCACGTACCATTGCTACGAATATTCTTGTAATTTTACACGTACATATTTCAGATAATTCCTTCATATTTCCTTGCAGTTCTTCGGCTCTATCTTAGGACAGACACAACTTTCTGTAAATGTTCGCGTCGTTTTTGCGAATTAAGTGCGTTCCGGTTGTTATGATTTTTCCAGCTCATCACTGGATTAGTTAGCCAGTTATTTGTTTTCAGAAGCATGGTCTTGATGGTGGAGGATGTCGTAATCGACCTGCGGTTACGTGAATTACCTTCAGTCGGAGAAGTCCTGCAATCCTCTCGCACTTAAACTATCCCCGCATGGGATTGGAACCTCTGAAACTACCAGGGTTTTCAAAGATGCGGTGGCGAGCGTATTCCTAGATGGCGAATTCTGGTTATTTTTTGCACGACCACCGGCGTTAAACTTGAGTTATCTATTCAACTATTCACACTAAATAATAGAGTACCATAGATTACCTGGTAACTAGGAAAACAACACCCTATGGCAATTGATGATAGATTTTGTTTTTTTGCCGTCCAAAATTGCGGCGTAAACAAAGTCACATGATCCGTGCAAGTTCTCTATATACTGCAGTGGTTCTCAGTCGGGGGCCAGCGGCCCCCCCAAGGGGGTCAGGAAGCAGTTCAAGGGGGGCCACGACACAAGGCTAATAATTTTTTATTAAAAAGCGACTTCGTTTGCAAGAAAATTCCCCGTTCATCTCAGTTTTATTACCTCAGTGACTAGGTGTATTCACTTTTTTGTGTGTACGAAATGTTTGATCATAATACGAGTGCAAAATGCCTCCGGAAGGGGGCCACGAGCCGTAAAAGGATGAGAACCACTGATATATATCCTCCGTTCTATTCAGAATCTACCGGAACACTTGAAAATTTGAATTGGCTCAGTATGTCGGTTAAATCACTGAGAAGTATTTTGTCATAACTAATATAGCCTATCCTAGATCGATTACAGAAAACGCCGTGTGTGCCGTTTTCAATGGGGCTAGAACTGTCGCTAGTGTGATACTTGCCATGGTCCTTTTGGACTAACAAATCCAAAATGAAATGAAACTGAACTAAATTATCACGAAAATCGGTGTTCAAATCTGCCCCCCTTTTTCAACTGTTTTTGCAACCTGCGACTACATCGGGGGCTAATCAGCATTTCAAGGCAATATTTATTTTATTGTTTATTATGTCAAGGAAGTTATCGATAATTTTGTGAACGTACGTCTGTCAAATAACTGGATTCAAACTACGAATTTGCGAAGTTATTCTGTCAGCTAAATATCATATTTAAATAATCTGTCCTGGCTCTTGAGGGCTTGATCCGTCCCCAAAATCAATTCTTTTCCATTTAAAAGTCCGGTTACGCGTCTACTCTGGCACTCCGGTTTCTTGTAGGATGTTTCATATTTTCTCTTTTATGACGTAAAATTTGAGTTGTTGGAAGTCTGAAACTCGTATTGCACTGCTAGTCACGATAACAAATTTTGTTATGTTCCCCGTCGATAAGAATGTCACCAACTTCGCTTTCAGTTGGCAAGAAAACGAATATCTGGTTGGCGCTACATTCATAGTATTAGTACTCCACTGTTTTTCTCTCCAAAATATTCATGCTATCTTTAAAGCTTAATATACCGACTGCTTTATATTGTAGGGTAACACTACTTTAGTCACGAGATTTACTGTTGACGTGGCGTAACCTGATAGCCAACAGACGGTCTTGCTTTACTGCTTTAGGAATATTTGGAGGTGTCGAAAGCAAGATCTACCGTATCTGCTAAAGATCAATGAACCTTAATGGTATATTTGCTATAATTCTATATAAGATAACGTTACCTAGATTTTCCGTTGGACAGTTGGAATAAAGGTTAACGTGCAAGTATCCACTGTACGTCAATTTCCATTCTAAAAAGAAAGGCATATATCAGTACGGTATACTGTTTGATATTGCAGTCCTGCAATCAGGTTATCGCGTAACGTACAGTATACAAGAAATATTGTCATGCAATCCAGCAGTCAGGGATACAGCAAAAGCTGGAAAGTGTGAAGTAGACTAGATGAGTACGGTACCGGTAGTTCATTTGAATACTCCGTATGCCAGGTACCGTAAAATACACTAATTTAAAATGGAGAATTAAGCAGTATACATAAACCATGTTTTCACCAACCTTCAGACCTACCAAAAATCAAGAACAACAAATACAGAAATAAACCAACTAAATGCTGAAATGCAAACATCCAGAGATAGTATAGATTCTGAGATTTTATAATGTTAACTTCATTCTTCATTACAGCATTTGCTCATTAGTGAGGAGACATACAAAAAACAATTTTTTTTTAATTACTTGCAGTTTCTTTAAATAAAAACATAAGCTGTTACGCAGATACCGTAGACTAGTACCGTACTAGACATGGATCTAGATCTGCTTGAAAATTGCGAATATAATTACCTTGATGATGCAAGCTTGTCAGAACTGTTTGGTGGTTGTGCTGATGTCAATATAAACTTCAATTATGGTGATGGAACAAATGTTCAGGTAGATTAGAAATATTTTGTTTTACCAAAAGATTCCTTGATTTTTCAATCTTCAGATAGCCTTTATGCATTCCTATTCCCACATATCTGCATAGTGCTATAATTCAGTAATTTGATAATATCTCATAAATTGGTACTAGTGGCTTTATCTTAATCTGGTTAAAAAAAATTCAATTTTACAATAATATTTGGCATTTTCACTGGTGATCATTGTGGTTTTCTCCAGGATATGTCCACAGGTATAACTGATGCAGATGATTTTGTTCAAAATTGGATCAATGCGGAAAATGTTCAGAGTGACCATGATTATGCCGGGTGTCTGCCGGTACAACCGGTCATTACATCAACTGAAGATTTCACATGCAATGTTGCTGAAAGTATGAGTGACAGTGGTGTTTCATCATTGTCCCCATGCGCAAAGTGAGTTCTTTTAGATCTTAATGTTTTTGTCATGTGTAGGCTACTTATTATTAGACATAACTGAAGTATTTCTTGGTTCTTGTGAGATTCAGTATGCAGATAATAAATCTAATTTATGACCACATTTGTCAAAATAATCGGTAGTTACATCTTTCGAGGGTTATGAAATTGAGTAATAAATACCAATTTATTTTCTAGTATCAAATTGCTTCAGTTAGGTAAAACAAGTTAATAAAAAGTTTATGTGTGCACAGGTCTCCAATTTCTTCTGATTGTATGAGGCGATCGCCATGTGATTTCTCAAATGGAACAAACTCTCCGCCATCTACCAGTAGCGGTTCATCTGATGCAGGGTCAGAAAATCACTTTTCCCTGAATGACTTGCAATTTGATTTTTCCGATATTGATATGGAAAAGGTTGTTAACAGTTTTCCTGTGGCTGGTGATGACATCTTGGACTCTTGTTTTAAACAGAGTAGTAACAATCTGCTGAACGAAAATGTTTGTATAGAATTGGATGATACATTATCATCACTGAAACAGGTCCAGACCCACAGAAATACAAATCAAAAAAATTGCAATAAAACCCCTGCTGGAAAGGATTCATTGCCACTTTCACCACAAAATGTTTCCAAGGCATTTGCCGAGACAAAATATAGATGCACATTGCCAAATTTCAAGCCTCTGCGTTTGACAGGTTAGATTTATATTTGTTTATTATAATATTAAAATTGACGTGTTTGATCTGAAAATGGCTTTATATTTGTGTTGTATCTTATTATTTTTCTTTGTAGCAAGCGTCAGGCAGTCATTTACATTTGAAATTATTATTTTTCAACATGGGTTGCTTTATCATGCAATATGCCTGAAATAAACTGCATGTGACCTTTTTGTTATTGGTTTACCTGATAAAATGCTTGTGTCTTGAGTTTGAATGGGTTATCTTTTTGCAGGAGAAGAATTGAAATTATTGGAGGAAGAAAATGTCACAATTCCTACAGACTTACCACTGACTAAAAGCGAAGAAAAAGTTTTGAAGCGAGTTCGTAGAAAGATTCGAAATAAGGTAAAATGTTTAACACTGTTTAATCTGAGCATTTAGAACATTCCGTTATTATTTATTTCTGATCCTTCTTAGAAATCTGCGATGGAAAGTCGCAAGAGAAGGAAAGAATATCTTGGGGGTCTCGAAAATCGTGTCAGTCAATGTACAATGCAAAACTCCGAACTTTTGAAAAAAGTAAAGGATTTGGAAAATGAGAATCAGACACTTTTGTCCCAATTGAAGAGATTACAAGATATCGTCAGATCCACAAGCAATAAAACCACACAAGCAACCACTTGTGTTATGGTATGTATTGTTGATTTATTGAATTTTCTCAAATGGATCACTCATGTTGTGTTATGAACTGTAGCAGATGGAATACTCTAACAAACATATCAACATGTATCTTCAATAGAACTGAACCAGGCATGGACATTCCAAATCGCTGAAGTTCAGGTTTATTTTGATTGTGTGAAAAAATATTTGATAGTGGGCATTTGTTGGGTATAGTGGTTCCAGCCAACTGTGTCTTAATTAGAATTCTGATTCGCATATAAATGAAAAATGACACATGTCTTCTGAATCTCAGATGATATTACAGGCACAGTATTTCATGGTTCATGGATTTGCGATTTACTAAAAAAATACAAATATGCAGATATATGAAATACATGCCTGAATTAGACCTTCAATGTATTAAAAAAATGATTTGATTTTTAGGTTCTACTGCTTTCATTTGGCCTTTTCCTTGCACCCAACTATGGCCCTTTCAGCATCAACCAAGAAGATGGTCAAACCTCTGAACTTGATGTCACAAGTTTATCAGCGAATTCGCACAAATCCAGAAGAGTTTTGGAGATTACTGATGATGTTTCACAACCCGAGGCTAAGAAACCCCGAGTGAACCTCAAGGAAATGAGCGAAGACTTCTCTTACTTCGGAGGGGAGAGCAATGCTAAAATTCAGGCTGGTTGGAAGCCACATCATGAGACCGATTATACCAGACACACTATTCCATTAACGGACATCAAGAAGGAAAACAACTCGTCAAATAATGCTAGTCAAAGTGATGAAAACCTGAAGCTAGCTCACTCTAACATGCTATCACCTAGCAATCAGGACAGTGTTGGGTTAGAGGTAAAGCCCCATGATGGGAGCGGACCTAAATCATTGAAATCTGAGGTTGAGAGTAATTTTGCTGATGTTCAGCTGCCTTTCCCACAATCTGATTTGGTCAATCCGACTGTGATGGATATCCATACTCCAAAGGTTGTGAGGATCTCTAGAATGGATGAGATATGATTCCCACCGGAGTAAGGTTGTCTAAGATTTAGGGGAAGATTGTCATCTATCGTTATCTTTGACAAATTTGCAATGGCCTCCAAGTTCTATTGCTGCGCCAATTGCTTGTTGAAGTAAGGACCCAGAAGGGAAGAGAAAGTCCCTCCATATTTATTTACAACTGATTTTTATACTGTTGACATTTTTGTGCTAAATGAAGCAATAAATCGCTGATATATGTAAAAAGATTGCTGAAAGACTCCATATATTAGCGGCTGTCAGGTCTCAGGATATGATTGAACTTTCAAAAAAGAAAACCCCAAATCAGAGGAAATCTGACAATTTGTTATCAGCAAACACTGAGAGCCTTGTTCAAATTGCTTGCTTCCCACAATAGGTTTGGTTTTTACACATCGTTCAAACATCAAGAAGACTCTTGCTGATTCAATAGCTTAGGTAAAAATGGGGATGTTTCTATTACATTAAAATATAAATAAATTGAATAGAAAAATAAATTGTATATATATATCATGCTGTTGTAAGATAACATAATGCGAAGATGAATAGTGTGGTTGATTTAATTAATGCTTTCACGATTTTAACCATTATGATCATTGACAAAGGGTTAGACCAGTGTTTCCCAAACTTTTTTCTGGCAGTGCTGCCCCCTTACGCGACTTTCTGACTACCGCCTCCGCCCCCCTGACAAAAAGTGCAGCATTTATCATTAGTACAACTATAATATGAGGGTTGAACCTGGTGAAATGCCAATAGCTTATAAATATCTGGCTTCATTTTAGTCTGAAACAGTCTTGAATCTGCTCGTCTGACATTGTCAATGGGTTTTCTCTTCATATCTAGAAGCGCGTCTATGGCACTGAATGCACGCTCTACCGAGTATGAGCTGGCAAAGGCAATAAATAAACTTTCAAATCGATCCATGAGTAGGAATATTTCAATTTGATTGTGTTGCCAGAAAACTGAAACACTGAACATTTGTTTGAAAGCATAGTACCAATGATAATAGTGCATCGATCGCTTCTGAAAAATTCAGGGTGACCCAAAAACAGTAAACTAAAAATTTCATAATTACTTCCACGCAAATTATTTAATTTTGTTTGCGCTTGATATTCTGTTTTTTTATGATTATACCTAGAATTTTAAGAAATTTAGGATGGTTTGTACGAAAGTTATGTTCTCTCTAGACTAGATAGAGTCTAGAATATGTTGCGAATTATCTCCTTGGTATTAGAGACAGACTTGCACCTGTTCCGCATAATTGCCAATCACTCACTTAGTTTTCACTTACTTTCTGCTGTCAAGACATGTCAATAACAACAATAATGTTTACTGGGGCACAGCACCTCCGAGGAAGTCTCACAGAGACCCGTTACTTTCAGCAATGTACACGACATTTTCAAACATGGCATAATCGGTCCGTATTGGTTTGAAGACGAAAATGAAAGAGCTCAAACGGTGAATACGGAACTTTACGTGGTTGTGCCGAGCTCGGACAATGGCGAGGGATTGGTAGATGTGATCAGTGGTTCCAACAACATAGCGACCCATACATCAAATAAGACGCTTGTCTGCCTGAAAGAGAAATTTTAGAAAAGGTTGATCAGCAGTGACGTCTAGTGGGCACTTTAATTATCGGACCTAAACCAACCAGATTTTCATCTGTAGGGGTATTCGAAGGACAATGTGTATCAGAACAATTGGTGAACTCAAGGCAGTAATCGCAGCAAAAATTAGTGGACTCCCCACGGAGGAGTGTGCGGAGGTAATTTGCAATTTTGCACAAAGAATGCAAGTCTGTCTCCAACACCGAATAAGTCATTTAGAACATATTCTGGAGAGAACATAACTCTTTTTCAAAACGTCTTGGTTTTTTGAAACTTTCGGGTACAATCATACACAAACAGAGGTTCAAGTGTAGACAAAATTAAATAATTTACTCCATTGTCTTGGAAGTAATTGAAACATTCATTGAGTTGCGTCATTTCAATCAGATGGTCCAGTTCTCACGTGTTGGTCTTAACAATGTCAAAAATATAAAATAAGGGTGTTGTACTTAACAACCGCTTTTAAGAACCTTAGAACTTGATAGTAGAATAAAGCTATAATTTGAAACAGAATGACGAAACGTGCTTGACTGCATGGTGAAGGAAACGTCAATATGCGTAAGCCATGCGCTAGAATAGTATTATTACTAAACAAAACAATGGTTTAAAAATGGCATGCTATTTTACGTTTAGTGAGAAATTTCTAACACCGAAATCACAAGCAAAACAGGTTGAACTAAACCCACTTTCTGTGATTGCACGAATTGATGTCAGCGCACCCAATTGCCCAGTTTGAAAACCAGCGCCCCCCCCCCCCCTTCCCCCCAATTGCCTGGGTCTGGGTCCTTACTTCAACAAGAAAATGGCGCAGCAATTGGAGGCCGTCACAATTTCTTGTTTTCGAGGATAACGAACCTTTTGTGTAGGACGTGATGCACCAGGCCACACAATAGCTGCTGCGTTCTGCCTAGCAGGTCGCCCTGTTTTCTTCTATTCCAGAACCTTATCTCACACTGATGCAAAATATGTCATGGTAGCGAAATAAGCGTAGACGTAGACTATAGTTGAAGTAGTTCGAAAACAGAGTCACTTTTTCCACGGAAGGTAACTGACTTAACTGATCAAAATGCGGTGCTTTTCATGTTTAATCTTAAAGCAAAATCAAAAATTAAAAACTCCAAACTATGGAGGGCAAAATCGGGCGGTTTTATTTTATACAATGCAGCACAAGTCCGACAAATAAAACATCGTACCGTATACTTTTTCGCTATTATGTGGATATTGCAAGGATGTCTCCCGTTGAATGAAGCGAGATGTAATGCAGATTCAACTTTGTTTATTCATGCAAAAACACGCAAACCAGATTTTGCATGAACTGCTTGAGTAAGATTTTATGCCAGTTCCACATTACATACATAATGGCTAGAGAACTCGAGTCATATCTAACTGTAGTCGCTGTAGGCTATATTGTTCCATCTAACCGACAATTCTTAATGTGATCCAGTGAACCAAACAATCTGGAGAAGAATGCGTAATGCTGAAAGACCGTAGGTTATCAGGTCAAGCTTTGGAAATTGTACTCCTATAAATATTGCCTTGCATGCCCTGCGTTCCTTGCTATTCACTCTAACAAATCTGTAACAAAATATGTCTTAAACTTGCCGTAAACAAAGACAGAAAATCGCATATTTCACCCCAAAAATGTTTTTTGTGTATTTATTATATGTTCCCAAAATTAGAATTTTTTAAAATTTTGTTATCTTTTTCAATTTAACACAAGAGTTCTCCTCTGCAAATATAATTGAGAAAATATTCTTCAAACTTGCCATAAACAACGACCGAAAATCTAATATTTCACCTCAAAAATGTTTTTTTTCATATGTTCCACGAATTGTCATTTTGTTAAAAGTTAAAATTTATTTTTTGCGCATGCGTATGTTTTTGCGTATTTCGCGCATATACAGTACTGTATTCTTGCTATTTTAAAACACACAACAGGCGCTGCATGAAACTGGTTCAAGGCAATTGGCAATTCAAGGCACTAAACATCTGACGCGGTCGACTACTTAAGACTTGGCGATCGACCGGTCGATCGCGATCGACGTCTATATATGTATATATAGCCTACTATATATACCCCTCCTCCAAAACCAACCGAGTTAGTTGAAATTGGGCACTTGTATAGCTTAGCCTTAGATAACTTCAGCAGTGAGACTTCGGCAAAATCATCATGGCGTTACCAGAAAAGTATCGTTGAAGCTGAGCTATCTTTTTCATGCCGTGGCATGGTTTCTAGTGGTTTTTGGCGGTTTTCACTGTTTTTAGACATATATATATATAGTTGGACTTGGCGATGACCTTGGATCGCCTATAAGATTAGTATGTTCTTCATTGCTACCGTGCAATGATCAACGACGAGTAGATAAATCGTATTGTGACCAGCTCTACCATAGTTGATGGTATGATTATTTGGTATGATGGTATGATTATATTTTTCCAAAGCGGGACGCCTCCAAAGACACGACCCCCTTAGCTGTGATCCTGTAACTTTACAGTTTCCGGTTTTACTACATAGGCCTACATTTAAAGCCATCCCGGCTGTATTCATGTGATACGTTGGCTAACAATGTTAGCGGGAGCAACGAAACATACAAAATAACGCATTCACCTTCAGTAAGTAGGCTAGCGTTGCGATACACAGCAATAACAGTAACGAGAACATGTTTGTGTATTATGTTGGATGGCTGAACGCCAAAGCGGGACTTTTGACTGACTTGTCGGGACGGCGGGACAAGACACTAAAAAGCGGAACTGTCCCGCCTAAAGCGGGACGTATGGTAAGCCTATGTAATCATCATCTTGAATGTAAGGAACAAAAGTGATATCATAGATGTCTTCGAATTATATTACATTGAACAGTATTTCAGCTTTAAGAACAGGTAGGTATTCCAGAACATAGAAATTGATATCTGTCATCCGGATGTATGAATGGCGTGTCACTGGACTCACTACTAACGGTTCATTGAAATATTTGAATTAATTGCATCACAAATTGCTTTGTACCTCTATTGTAATTAAAGATGTGCCTCAAAACTTTTATTAAATAAATTATGGTAGTGTCTGCAGGCGTTTCGACGTACACAAACGCTAGGAATCGCGATGTTCAATGAGAGGGCTTATAGCGGATTGGCCACTTTTCATGGCGAAATACACAAATGTTTACATATCCTATTAAATCAATACATAGACTTGCGTAAATAGGATTTTATAACAATTTGATCTCATATTTAGTATTTCACAAAACGAAAAATCCAATGTTATATTTTTTTTTGTAACAACCATGTAATATTCAAAACAATAACATTTTGTCGTGCGTGCGCTAAGCACTCGTCTACAATTATGCAATAAAATTGATTAAGCATTTGAGAGCTTACTACTTCACACCGAGGTAACATGGCTTTCCAAGGCGAACTGCCTAACACGATTTTTCTCGCTTTTTGATGCTACTGTTGGATTCCAAACTTGCGATACGAGACTCGCGAAAGATGTTGGTAGAGTTAGAAATGACATCATTTACTTGGTCGACATATTCTATAAATTTATTGAACTGAATTCAACTGGACAGGTATTTCTCCAATTCTCAAGCTTTCAGCAACCAGCGACAGAGGCAAATCTAATGTCGATGTATTGTAGAGCAAGTATATTCAAGAATTACATAAAGACATGGAAGTTCGTTTCAAAGATGTACTGTATTTCAATTGGAGGTTACCGAATAGATAATTGACCCATTCAGTAATATTTACAGTAATATTTAATGCTCTAAGCTTGATTTTAGATACATCTAGCATCGCAGTTTGTTATGTAATAAAATTAATAATTATAATAGTTAGCTGATGGAATTCCCGAAAAATAAATAACAAGCACGGCTTTCAACAAGTAATTTGCAACTGATAGTGACTAATGAAG